ACTCATAGCAACTTTTCAATATCTGAAGGGCCTACAGGGGAGCCGGAGAGGGACTCTTTGTTAGGAACTGCAATGATAGGACAAGGGGTAAGGGATTCAAATTGAAGGAGGGGAAATTTAGGATAGATATTAGAAAAAAGTTTGCTACTGTGAGGGTGGTGAGACACTGGCACAGGTTGCCCAGGGAAATGGTGGCTGTCACAACCCTGGCGGTGTTCAAAGCCAGACTAGATGAGCCCTTGAGCATCCTGGTCTAGTGGGGAGGTGTCCCTGCCCATGGCAGGAGGGTTGTGTCTGGATGATCTGTAATATCCATTCCAACCCCTAAAATTCTATGATTCTATGATCAGTGGGAAGCAAGAGCTTCATCCTTCGAGGGCTGTTGAGAAGCCTCTTGGGAAAGACAACTTTGGTGTTGGGGTTTTGCTCAACCAGTTGTGCAGTTACTCTTCAGGCTGTCAGCAGTATCCTCCAGCCATGTGGCTGCTGTGGTGGGATTTGAGTAGTTCTGGCTTCCTCTGCTCTTGAGCCTTTGTGCAAACCTGGCTCCGCTGTTGGGAAGCAGGACAGAAAGTAGCTTCCCTTGGCACACCCTCCAGAGAGAGACTGGAGGGGGAATAACCTTCTTCTGAGGAGGAGCATCCCTTGGGTTGAACAAAACAGGATTAATGAAGTGAGTCTGTTAAAGGAGGGTAAAATACAGGTTGTACAAGCTCTTGGAGAGTTGCTGTTCCCAGATACTGTAGCTTAGATATAGGGAAATTAAGCCTTTATGATTTGTATCCTACTCTCTTTAGTCCTTTCTTTTCTTGCACCCCACAAGAGATCAGGGCCAATGGTTTCTATCCTAAATGCATGTTTGACTTGTTCTTACAGGCTGACAAATGCTCATACTGGAGGATCGAACCCAGTAAAGGAGTGATCCCTGCCAAGACTAAGGTGTCTATGACTGTCACAGCCAACCTGGATGATACAAAGAAATTTCAGGATGAGGTGAAGCTATTCGTTGAGAATAGCCATATGATCACCATCCCCATCCAGGCTTTAGGCATTGGCACCACAATTGTCATTGACAAACCGTTTGCTCCAGAGCTCAAGTTGGGACCACACTTCAGGTAGGGAATCTGTCAGCTCTTACATTTCCCATTGGCTCAGCAAGGAGTAGTTTTGCTGTAGGCCTTCAGGCTAGATCTGCAGTGCTCAAGGTCCTAGCTCTGTTTCTCTGAAGCCAGAGATGCCTTTAGACTGCCATGTGGTGGCCAGTCGAGAGTCATTAGACACCCTCAAACCCACCAAAATGGAAACCAGTTGCTAAATTGTCACTGAATTGTCTTTAGTTCTAATACATGTATTTCCTCACTTTATCAAGTAATGTTTTGGAGAAAAACAGCGGGTCCTGGAAGCCTCTGGCTGAAAAATGCTATGTTACCAGTATAAACATATTTCTCTTTGCAATAATGACATCAGAAAGGCAGTGTGTCAGGTATTAATTCTGATCTGCATGAAGAGCAGGAAATGAAGATGGTTTCCAAACTATTAATACCTCAGATTGCTCCTTATTAAGAGCACAGTGAAATAGCAGCTCCCATGACATTTTCCATCTCTGCTTCTCTTCTAGCCTCATTCCCTGCTGTTATCAGTTCAAAGTAACAAATAAAGGACGACGTGTCCATCGCCTGTACTGGACCACAGAAGATTTCAGCATGTTTCAGCAGCATCATTGTCTCCCTGCCCTCAGTATCAAGGGCAAAGATGCTTCGCTGAGCCCCAAACTTGCCAGTCCTGTGTTTAAGCTGCGACCACCAAGGATGGAACTGATGCCAGGCCAGACTATGGAGCTAGTGCTGGAGGGCTTCTCCAGCTGTCCTCAAGTGAGGTCCCCACCAAGGGCTGAGCCTTTCCCATCAGATCCTCTACACTGGGGCTTCTTCTGCAGCTCCTTGACATTTGCCTGGGGAAATGAGCAAGTGCCTTCAAAAAAACTGTTTTAAGGCCATAAGTTTCCATTGCAGCATCAGTTGCTTTCATTGCTGGCCACCATCAGTTGCTAAGGCTTTTTTGTGTTTCCATAGCTGCCAAGACCCAATGCTCATCCTAAAATACAGGCTGAAGGAAATGCTGCTCCTTTGGGGCAAACAGGAGGTCACCAGTGCTGTGTGCTGAGGCAGAAGGGAAAGGCAGAGAAAATCAGTCACACTTAGACTAGGAACTCAGGCAGAAGTGGTTTATCTGGGGAAATTAGGGAGTAAAGCCAAAGACCTGTGAAGGGAGGAAGTGTGTGGGAGCAGCATCACTTTTCCTCTGCAAACGAACATGGGCAGCGGGCTGGTCCAGCCCTGAGTTCTGGAGAAGAAAAACAGTGTGCCAGCTCTGATGATCAGTGTGATGTGCATCCAAGTGGCAAACTGTTCCCAGGGGTCATTATACTCGACAGCTTGACTTTTTTCAGCATTCCCATAACCACTCATCCCAATCACTCAGCCAGTCCTAGTGCCCCAAGGGCAGCCAGGTCTTGCAGCACCCTTGGAGGGCAGTTCAGAGTGGGTGATTTTACCAGGGCCACAGGGAGTTCTCCTCTGAGGAGAAATGCAACTCTGCAGAGAAGCTTCCAGCTAACCCTGATGTGCATTCCCTGGCTCCAGGACCCCTGGGCACAGAGGTGGAAGTGAATGTGAAATGTCTCTACCTGAAGCTCCTGCCGATACTGGTGTGCTAAAAGGTGTTTGAAAGGGTTGCCTCAGTGGTAGCTTGAGGAAGACATGTTCGGTCACCTGCGCTGGGACTGTCTGAGCCTAAAGGTTTTGCTGAAGAGGGAAAAAGGTTCTAGAAAGGAACTAGGGTGATCAGGACACTGGTGAGGATGACTTGCCTGAAAATCCAAAAGGGCATCTGTGAGCTCAGCTGTGGCTACCTGGCTCCTGCAGTCAGAGCCAAGACCCTGGGAGTGGACATTCGACATTCCACCTTCCTTGGGTCTGGAGAACTTCATAGTCTTCAGGCTGGTCAGCAGCCTAACTTCTTGCATAGCATGTGCAACACAGATGACTGTGAAGTCTGTAGGCTTGGAGGAGGAACTGGGTTGTGGTGGTGTGTCAGAGGGAGGAGTGAGAAACTAGCAGAGACATCTAGAACCATGAGAAATCAGGAAAAAGGCTTGAGCTTAAGCTGAGGGTTCTCCTGTGAAGTGCACAACATCTCTTTTCCTAAGGATGCTTCTTTTAAAACCAGGCCTAGGAGGGCACAGGACATCCTAGGAACAAGTGATCCCCTCCTTACCTGAAGGCAGGCTGGTTATTTGGGGTTTTTGCGTGGACTATTTCCCTTCAGCTTCCAAGAGAGGGTTTGCTGACATTGGGCCTTCTATCACTTGTTCCCCGTAATATATGGGACACTTTCGGTTTGGTTTGTTTTTTTGAATCAGTCCCTACAGCTTTCTGTGAGCATCGTGCTTGGCAATGGCACAAATCCAAACAATAATCATTGGGGGCAGGGGTTATTACCATTGTAGGCAGCTCATGACTCCTGAGTGCCTTTTGTGGCTAATGGGGTGCAGCATTATGGACACTGGCATGCGCAATAAATAGACTGCAGCACAGAAAGATAAGGGGCTATTGAGGAGAGCAGGGACTTTGGCAGGAACTTTGTGGCAGGAATAGGGCCTGTGGGTGGAAAAAAGCATTTGCTGGATGCCCTGCCAACACCCCTGGGTGACGAGTGACTCTTACATGCAGGAGGTGAAGGAGCACCTGCTGTGTCATGCCATTGTGGGGACAGAGACAACAAAGACACAGATAATGCAAACAGTGCTCACCTGTGGCTTCATTTCTCCCACTGTGCAAGCATCATCCAAAGAAATCATTTTCTGTGTCGAAAAGGTAAGTCCCCCAGACTGAATTCTGGCATTTAACAGCATGGCTGATGGCTGAGCCCGTGGTGGGTGTGTGCTTGTGTTAAAGCCCCTCCTCAGCCTTCCTGAGGCAGTTTGTAAAGTAAGTGTAGATGTTTTTAGATATGAGACTGGTTTTTGAACTCCCCTGAAGTAAAACTGTGGCTACAGCTGCTCTGTCAAGGAGGATCATGGCCACTTCTAGAGAAATGCCAGTTTCTGTGCTCCGTACCAAGGGAGGGTTTTGAAGATCCTCCAAGGCACAGTGATGTCCCCTGGAAGAAAGAAAGGGTACTTCTGAGGTTGAAAAATGTGAAATGCGTTGGAAGAGGAAGGAGGTCTGTGGCCACTTGAGGTTGTTTTTCTTTGTCTACTGTTTCTGTAGCAACCCAGTGATGTTCTGACTCTGGAGTACAAACCTCTGTCTTTGAAAAACACCTGCCCCCTGCCACTCAGCATTGTGCTGGACTTGGAGCAGCCCTTCCTAATCTGCACAGTGGACCGGCAGCCCCTCCCTGCAGGTGTCCAGGTGAGCAGCCACAGACCCTCTTACTGGTGGGGTTTGAAGAGGGAGGGATGTGGTGATGCCTTTCTGTTGGGAGATCCTGGAGTCAAAGAAGTTTATTCTGTAGAGTCAGCAGTGGACTGGCCTGAACTGTCAGCAGAGCTGGTGAAGGAGGTAAAATCTCATTGGAATTGGGAAGATCTATACTGGCTCTAAGATGTGAGGAGAAGGGAGCAGACAACTAGGTCTGGGCAAGCTATGCAGTAAACGTGTCTCCTGGAAAGCATCCCAGCTCTCCAGCAGCCGTCATCCGGTATGGCTGCCAAGCACAGAAATGTGAGGCTGAGAGAATCTCGGACCAGAGTGTGGTACTTGCAGTCACACTCTTCCTGTAAAGAAATGAAGGATGAACTGAGAAGCCCATGCTGGCTGATGATAGTCACCACCATGGATCCAGTGGCATCCCATTGATCTGTATGCTTCGGCAGGGGGAGATCTCTCACCTGGGGGGTGTCAGCTCACAGCTTTTATGCTTGCAGGTCCATTCCCCATTATGACTTACTTGCAGCAGTTTGTAGACCAGGGAATGGCACTTGCCCCCCACAGGCCTTGATATGCAATCCTTATCAGGGTCCTTTGCGGTGGTGGACAGCAGGGGTCATAATGACAGCAGGTCACATCCCAAACTCTGCACATGAGGCTGTTGTGTCTACTCCATATCTGCATGTCTCAGACAGTGATTCTCTGGCATTGCAAGGCCTGAGAATCATCATGTTGGAGAACACATCTGGGTATACTATACTTGGGTACATTGTCGAGACAAAACAGGGACTTCATCACATGGGTGATTAATACTCTTTATCTCCTTGCAGCCCATGAAGCTGGAGGCAGGGGAGGAACTTCATCTCTGCATCGGATTTAACCTGGCTTATGAGAAGGATTTGAATATCCAGGTAGCAGAGAAGGCTCTGAAGATGCGGTTCATGGAGCATCCTCATGAGCAGCAGATCACCATTCGGGGAGAAGTCTATTTCCCAAATCTCCATATTCAGCCCAAGGCCCTGGACTTCGGCTGCATCATGAATGACACTGAACAAGTGCATTGCATCAAGATGACCAACTGCAGCCCAATTCCTGTTCAGTTCCACTGGTCATTCCAGGCAGAGAGCCCAGTGAACCCAATAAAGTATGTGCATCTCTGCCCTCTCCTTGAAGCTTTTCTTCCTCATGTCCTGTTTGTACTTTGCAAAGACCAAAGCTGGGATCTGACAAAGTGCTTTGGACCTTCCCTTGTGGAAATAACACTGACAAACCATGGTCAGGCTGGGTCCTCAGGGAACAGGTGTTCTCCACCGGTTTGATGCTGCTGCAGCCTCCATACTGGTTTCCCCTGGGAAGGAAGGCTGGTGGGAAAGCTGCTTTCTCAGACCTCCATGGCCTGAGGCAAAGACCACCTTCATGAAGGCTCCTAGTCTCAGCTCCACAGTGCTGGTGGAGGCACTTCCACAGCACTTTGGCTCCTCTGCTTTGGGACAGGTCCTCTGCAGGCAGAGGAGCTGGTCCCTACTCCTTGCCTTCCTCCCTGTGTTCCCAGCCTTGGCCTGGACATGTTGGAGGATGCCCAGAGGGTATCCTCCAGCACACATTCACATCACAGAAAGCTACATAGCACCTGGGCTGATGCTGAACACCTTCTCCTTTCCTGTGGCACCCCCTTCAGTGCCAGGGTGATTTCTTTCCCAGGGGTCAGCTTTCAGTGGACATCTTGGATTCTTCATCCCCTTCCTTTTCTTGTGACACTTGTTAATCATTTTGACTTCTCTCCGCTGGAACAAGTCCTTTGTGGGCTTTATGCTGCTCAGGACTTGTTCATCACATCATCTCCCAGCCCTGGTTCCCAGAGGGCTTCTACTTTAGAGTGAAAAGTGCTGTTGTCTGGGCACCATGGTCCTGCGAAGTAGCCTCAAACCATTTACTAAAACTGAAGGTGGTTGAATAGATGACTGTGGATCTCTTGGGATCCCTTGGGCATTACAGCCTCTCATCCAGAAATGAAGCCCAGCCTTAAATAATAAGGTACAAAGCTAAAGACAGTTATTCTTTGGGGAGCAGGTCATGAAAGGCACTGAACACCTAGCTGGGAATGGAGCATCTAGGTTGTGTTTGGCTGCGTGAGGAACACTTGCAGCTCAGCACGGAGACAGACAGGGACGACTTGAGTGTGTCCCCCACATGGCATTAGAAATACAAGCAGAGTTACCCTGAGCACCTGCACCTGAGTCACCTGAGAGTACTGGAAAATGTTAAGCCCCCAAGAATGTCAGGGAAACATTCCAGGTAAATACTTGGGAGAGCTGCAGAGGTTCTGGTGTTGGCTTTCTGGGATATGAAGCAGGGTTGGCAGTGGTGGGTGCTTTCAGGCAGGTGCTGGGCTGGCTGTGTTTGCTCATCACTGGCTGGATCTGCCCCTTTGTGCCTGTCCCACCTTTTTGCAGAGTTTCTCTGTCTTTTCCTTTCCCACTGTGCTTTTTGCCTCCCCACAAGCTGTTCATCTCTGTCCTCTGCAGTTCCTCATTGCAAGCAGTTGACAGCTGCCTGCACTGTTGCTACCCCAGTGTCGTCTCTGGGCTGCCCCAAGCATGGAGCTACTCCAGCCTGGTTTTGGAGCAGCTGGATCAGATAATTTCTGAGCTCACCACACCAGCATCCATCCAGGGGCCACATCCTGATGAGGAGCAGCTCGTGCAGGCATCCCTCTCTCCCACTGAATGTGCATGATCATAGTTTTGTTATTTTCCAGGTTCACCCCTTCCCCACTGAAATTCAAACCCCAACCACCAAAGGAGGAGAAAACTTCATTGGAGTGTTTGGCGTCTTCAAGGAGACACTGCAGGGCTGGATGTGTGGAGGAGCCAACCAATGACCTGGTGGCAGTGCAGGATCTTGCCCAACAGTCAACAAGTGCAGATGAAGCAAAGGTAGATTTTCTTGTGCACCTACCACTTGCATATCCCAGCTTGCCACCAAAAAGCTGTGCTTGCACTGACCTCCAAGTCATGGCTGGTCTTCTGCATCCATTTCCATGCTCGACATCTCAATCTCTCCTCCCCTACCTCCAGGCTTTCCATGCCCTGCCGATGTCTGGTGTGCTGCAGCCAGGCAAGAGCCAGAAGGTCAAGTTCAGCTTCTTTGGCCACGCAAACATCATCGCCCATGTCACAGCGCTGTGTCAGGTGGAGGGAGGCCCCACCTACAAAGTGGCACTGTATGGGGAGGCTTCTTGCCTCAGCTACCGCCTGGACATGCGGGAGGTGGACTGCAGGCTGCAGGTACTGCATGTTTCTCCTGGCAAAGCTCCTTGTTTTGGAACCATCACCGGTGGGTTGCTGCCCACCTGAGCCCAGGTCTCTCTCCCCTTCCCAGCTCCTCTGTTGGCTCTGGGGCTTGTAAATAATACAACCTTTGAGAGATACATCCAGCATTCAAGTTGGTTTTCAATGGCCCGCTCTACCCTACCCCAAAATATTGTGAATTCCTTCTCTTCAGGGTACCTAACGCTGCCTCCTGGGGCAGGCAGGATCCCAGTGGGGATGTCCAGAGGGACATGTCCCTGAGACATCCCTCTGCTGATCTGCTCCTAAAGCCTGAGCTCCAAGGAGATGCTCTCATCTAATGCTCTTGGTCCTCTCTCCAGGTGTTTAATGAAGTCACTGAAGCAAAAGTCACCCTGAGAAACAATGGGAAGATTGGATTCACATACGTGGTGCTAAATCCGAGCACTGCCACTGCAGCCAGCCTTCTGCCTGGTGTGCCCCTGGTTGTGCCCAGGACAGTGAGTAGCACAAAGGATTGGCCCCAGCCCTGTGTCAGGTGGCCCAGGAGAGGGTTAAAGGGAAAAAAGGGGGAAAAATGGGAGGAAAAAACCTCAAACCCAGCCATGAGAGACAGAGCTGTAAGCAATTGGTGCTGGGGGCAGAGAAGGTCAAGCAAATGCTGTCCTACTAGACCCCCTCATGGCCTTGGCCGGCGGGTGGCTCTGCCATTCTGCAGCAGCCAGGAAAAAACCTCAAACCCAGCCATGAGAGACAGAGCTGTAAGCAATTGGTGCTGGGGGCAGAGAAGGTCAAGCAAATGCTGTCCTACTAGACCCCCTCATGGCCTTGGCCGGCGGGTGCCTCTGCCATTCTGCAGCAGCCACCAGCGGGAGGCAGCAGCGCATCGGCCACACTTTGCACTCTGGCTGCTGAGCTCTCTGGCTCTGCTGACACTGAAGCCAGGCAGTGACGGCTCTTCTGAGGGTCACCTTACCCAGGCTGTGTGATCAGACTGGGCTTATTCCTTGTCCCTGCTCTCCCCCCTGTCAGCACTAAGCAGCATTTACATATTCCTTGCTTGGGTTTGAAGCTCGTTGCCTGAAGTTGTCAGTCACTGTGCTGGTCTCTCACTCCTCCAGCTTTACTTCTCTCCAGCAGCTTTGTATGAGGCAGTGAGGGGGCCAGGGAGGAGCAGGGCTGGAAGAGCAAGGAGAGAAGTCTGCAGCATCCCACCACTGTCACAGCTTCTCAGTCCTGCCTGGATGTCTTTGAGCTGAAGCAGTGTTCCTGTCTTTGTCTTGGTGATAGGAAGAGGAAGACCCATAGCTTTCCCATTTCTTCATGCCTGTCTCCTTCAAGGGATGACAGGAGCTGCTGGCCCTGCTGAGAGCATGGGCACTTCAATCCTCTGCCATAGTGGCTGGCAGAAGAGCTCTTCTCTGTTCAGCCTGGCTCTTGCTAGTGGAGGGCAAACGCCACTAGCAGCAGAGCTGTGCTCATGCTGAGCAAAGGGCTCAGGCTGTGCTGGGAGGTGCACCCTTACGAGCCCTCAAAGAACAGACTGCACCCTGGGGTCAGGGGCTCAGGCTTTTGGGTACAAGGAGGCTAGCGGGCCATGTGGTCTGATGTCTTCTTCTAGATGAGAACCTGTCTTCTCAACCTGTCTGTCCCCTGAGCCATCCTGCTTCAAAGTCTCTCTGATGCATTGCATCCCTCTTCTCCTGTCCCCTGCAGGGTTACATTGGATCTGGAAAGGAGCAAGTGCTGAAAGTCTCTTACCTGCCAGGAATGTGTTCTGCAGGACTTTCCAGGTCCAAGTGGGTCACCTGGAACCTGCAGAAATCTCTCTGAAAGGAGAGGCAGTCTTTCCCAGGATCTCTATGGACCTGCCCTGGAACATCAAAGGTTAGCATTACCCATCTGCTCCCCAGGAATGGCCCCCTGGGTTTTCTCCATTTTCCAGTGGGGCAGCTCATGCCCACCTCCACCAAGCCTGGAGGTTGCAGGGCTGCTAGGCCAACACTCAACCCCTCTGGCTGCTTCATGAGTCTTGAGCAGATGAGCCTGTGTGGGCTTTGTCCCATGAATCATCCTGCAGAGCGTGCCAGTACATCTGTCAGAGGCCTGGCAAGATGGCAGCTAGACAGAAAAGCTTGGGAAAACTGTAAGCTGGCAGGGCTTTTGGCAGGGCTGGATTTGCATGACTGTGGGGAGGAAGATGGGTGGGAGTGAGAGTGAGGATTCAGAGAGGAGCGGCAGCATCTACTTTCCACAGATGGCTTGAGGTGATTGTTGCTGGAAGAGGCCAGTGCTGGGGGAGTGGGACTTCCCAGTTTAAATGGCATTGGCACTGCACCCACGCTTCTATTTGTGAATGTCTTCTTCCTTCAGGAAATAAAAAGTATGAGAAAGTACTGAAAGAGGCAAAAGAAAAGCTGGAAAAGGACAGGCAGAGTGGTGCAGCATTTGTTCTCAGGGAGGCTGTGGCCATGGAGCCACCCGTGGATGACTCTGGCACTGTGGTAAGAACAACTGTTGCCCTATTTGGCACATGCCACCCTCCCCACATCACTTGAGCCCCTTGCACCCCACAGCAACTTCCTGGTGCCCTGCTGGCACTTGGGATTGTCCTGCCCACACCTGGCCATGATCACGTGTCAGCTCAGTGTTGCCCCAGGGGCTGCCCACCTCGGGTTGTGATCCCTCCCAGAGAGGCACCAGCTTCCTGGCTACCCCAGGGAGAGATCCTGAAGGCCATGCTCCAGTGATGGAGTTAAAGGTGCTTTGAAGGAGAAGCAGGTCATTGCTAGGGAGTTTGTTGCTCCCAACCCAAGTCTTGCCAGGTTTACAGACCATAATAGCAGCAGCCTGAGTACACCCCAGGACTGTGCTGGCAGTGTTCATCTCCAAGAGGCACCAGCTTGGTTGTGGTTTCATTTTCAAGACAGCTTTTGTCCAAGCTGCTTTGGCACTGGTTGGGGGCAGGCAAATACCTGGAGCTCTGGAAGGTTCCCGGCTTGGCTGGCTGGCTGGCCAGATCAGCTTTTCTAACAGTGGCCTAGCAGGCAAAGATGCTGGAGTTATTTCCCCAGAGATAAGGTCCTGCCTAAGAGTGCAGAAGGTGTCACAGACACTGAGCAGCCAGACAGCAGGACCCCATCCCCCCCTCTCAACAAAAGCAGGGTGGGATCCTCTTCCAGAAACAATCCTGGGCCTTGAGAATGACTTTTGCTAACCAGTCACTGTCTTCTCTTTCCTCAGTTGGACACTCTGCTGCAGATGGAGATGGAGCAGATGCTGATAGAGGAACATGCTCTGGAGCAGCAGAGAGTTCTCAGCTCCCATCCTGCAAAGGACACTGTCTTTGACGAATGCGCTCGTCAGGGGCTTGTCAAGTGAGTAGGGACTCCCATCCCCTATCTCCAGATGACCCAAAGGGAACACCCAGCAATGTCCCCTGCTCCTGAGAGCTACTTGTGCCTGCAGATCTGGGAATAGCCAGGGACTTCAGAAGGGGTCTGGGCCTGATAGCTGTGACATGCTTCCTGTGTGCAGCTGAGTGTCCTGCCTTCCCCAATGCTGTGCTGAGCTTTGGAGGTGCTGAGCTCCCTACAGAAGCACGGTTCTGTTCTTACTGCTGAGGGGCCCCAGTGCAGACCATCACGCCCTTCCAGACACTGTCCCTGCTGACTAGCTCTCAAAGAGGAAGCTCTAAGCTGCTGTCTTGGTTCCAACTAACAGGGCACACTAAGCAAAAAGAGCAGGGAACTACACAAGTCGACAAACCCTTAAAAACCCAAACCCAGGTGGCTCACATGCTGGTGGGGTGACAGGGTAGGTAACTTGGTCCTGCCCTTTACTCCTTCATGATTCAGGCCCCAGTTCAGGAAGAAGATGCTTTATAAAACAGATCATTGGTATGATCTGGTTGCGGAGCAGTGAAGATTTCCTGTGCAGGCAAATCTTATTCCTAGGCTCTGAAACAACTTCAGGTTCAGGCTGTACACCAGGATAAGCAGTTTCATTGAGACCAGTGGAGGTCCAGTAGACTTACTTGCACTGGCTTTTCATTGCCGAGGAGCTATGAGCAGTGTCCATTTTAAACTTACTTTATTTTCAAGTCCCATTGGTAGTTGATAAAACCCAGGACCTGCACTCCCCCAACTTCACAAAGTCATTGCCAGGTGGTCAGGCGTTGGGTTTCATGGGCTTAAGTTGAGCTTTTACAGCAGTGTACACAGAAATACGCACATTATTTGCATCTTCCATCCACTTGGACATGTAGCCAGGCTGTGGTTTAAAGACTGTCCTTACTCCTCCTTCCAGAGCTCAGCTGCCCGAGTACATCCTGGACATGGGCAATGTCATTCTTGGTGTCGTTGAGAGGCGCATTGTGAAGGTCACCAACACTGGACTGTTCCCAGTGTCCTTCAAGGCTGATGTACATGTCCTGTGTGACACAGGTAACCAGTGCTGGAGAGACTTGCCATGGGCCTGAAGAAGCTGTCTCAGACAGATTAGTTTAAGCCACTGGACACAGGGAGGGGTTTTGAGCTTCTTCCTCTCAATGCCCCTGCTGGGAACTTCAGAATCTGAATCCTCCTGGCCAGCCATGCCCAGGGACCTGACCTGCCTGTGACTGTCCTAATGCAGTCACATTGCAGGGGCCAGATGGGCTGATCACCCTCAACATCTTCTGCCCTTAGCTTCCATTAGCATTGAGTTTCTTTGGGCACTCTGTGGGCTTGTGTTGCAAAAAGATGGGACCCACTGTGGTTTGGAAGTGCTTGGTTTGGAGTTCACACTGTCGCAGCACTTGTGTCCAGTCTTTATTGAGGAAATAGCCTGTGAGGTCTTCTGGTGGATCCAAATAGGCTTCCAAAAGATGCTTTGAGGCAAGGCTGCGCTTCCATCACCCAGTGGCTCACTGTGTCTGAGGGGTGCTCAGGTGTCTCCTCTAAGTTGTTGTCCAGGGAACAGCATAGCATAGTTTTTTTCCCAGAAGTGCCAGCCAGGACAGTCGTATGGCCTGAACATGCTTATGACACATTTCATGTTGCTTGTGTATCTCAGCTGCTTTGTTTTAATCCATCCAAGGTTTCAGCCTGGACCTGGAGCAGGTGCAGTGCCTGCCCTACTGCGAGACTAAGACATTTGAAGTGTGCTTTGACAGCACCAACCTGCCAGTGGGAGAGGTGGATGTGCTCCTGCCCATCAAGGTACCACCACTATTGGGGCAGGCGACAGCAGATGTCACCTGGACTCTCAACTGAATTCTCTGTCCTTCTCCAGGTAGCAAGAGGCCCCACGTTTCACATCAGCCTCCGTGCCAGTGTAGTTGCACTCTCCCTCAGTCTCTCCAGGGACAGAGTGCAGTTCTCGGCTGTCCAGGTTGGGCAGTGTGTGGAGGAAACAGTCCTGATCCACAATCAGTTCCAACTGCCCTGTAAATGGTTCATCACTATGAACAAGACAGTTAAGAAGGTAAAGCACAGACAAAACGTTAACTTCTTGGTTGGGTTTTTTGTGTCTCTTGCCTTTTCTGTGCCTGTGTCTGCCTAAACACTTGGGCTAGAGTTTGTTTGAGGGAGCTTTTGAGAGTCCAGATCAAGGTTGGTTTGCCTAGACCTGGTGTATTAGCTGTTGCTTTGCTTCTCTGCCAACTTCATCCCTTCCTCCTCCTCTGGGGATAGTGGCCTTCCCTGCCTACAGGTTTTCCCTCCAGTTCTAGGCCATGGGGGCCAAGCCTGGTATGACTGTGGGTGCTCTCAGCACCATGACAGTATCTTGGAGCACTGTAGGAACTGACGCTCTATCCGTGCCCACCAAGGGGACCTCACACCATTGGTTTCTGTGCTCAGGTGGACAAACATTTGACACCAAGCATGTGTCAGAAGCAGCTCCAGACTACAGAGGCTGAGCCCTGTGTGTTCGAGGCACTGCCCTCAGCTGGAACCCTCGCTCCAGGACACTGGTGCAAAGTGCAAATCCGGTTTGCACCCACGGCAGAGGTGAGATTGGTGGCTGGTCACCCTGGGAAGTCTGTCAAGGTGCTGTGGTAACGAGAGCCTGGTGCAGGCAGTGAGGATGACGTCTGCCTTCACAGGAAGCTTTCTGCAAGCCCCATACCTGCTGTACCTGTTTCCCCTGCAGCACACTCATCTGTGAGGCGCTTTAAAATCCCCATGGTAAGCTTGCCCAGAGAGCATCAGGGCACTGCGCTATGGCTGCCTCTCAGCACATGGGGGAAAAACTGCCTGATTCCCCTCATCTTCCCTCTTTGTTGGTCGTGTTTGCAGGCTGCGATGCTTGATGCAGAGCAGCTGGCACACTCACAGGGGGTAACCCTGGAAGGGCCAATGTGGGCTTGCTCATCCTGCTGCTGGAACCAACAGAGAAAACACCCATCAAACACCTTCCTGAAGCATGGCAGGACATTCACCTGTAGAGGTGTGCTGCCAGCAGTCCCCACAGCTCTGGCCCAGCCTGTCTGCATGTTCCCATGTGCGGGAGTTCGCATATAACGAGGCAACGCCATTATTATCTTTCTGAATGTCTCATGACCGCTTTATTATTTACAAAAGTGATTCTTTTATACACACCTATTACAAGTGCCCACTTATCATTGGTTAACTACTATTACTAGCCCACCTTACATGCAATATAATTAGTTATTAACATATCAATCATAAAATGCTTAACCATTATTCTCCACACCTGACTATCTTCAACTTCTGCATCCCACAGCCAGGAGCTGCTTATCTTGCTCCCGTCTTTCTCACATTCCAACTGCAACTGCGTCCTTGAACAGCTTGGCTTGCTGCTTGCTCAGGCCCTGCTAGCAAGGCTGGATTGCTCACATGTCCATTAGCAATCAGAAATTCTCCCACACCCATGCAGTTTGGGAGCCAACTTACAGGATAGAGCATACCCAAAATCAGTTTGTTTGTGGCCACAGAGACTTGGAAATTGGCAGTATGTAACAGGATGGACACAAGTGCTTCGATACCTGAGAACAGTCCCAGGGATCTTTTAATTGCTTGAAAGAGGTAACCATCTTGTGTCTGGCTTTGACCAAAGCCAAACATTGAGCAGAGAAGATGACCCTTATTTCAAGCCAGCTAGAGCTCATCTACCTCTTTCATGGAGCTGGTGTTTGCCTGATACAGCAGTGCCAGGACTGTGGCTGGGCACCATAACCCTGAGGACTTTTCTCATGAGCACTGTGCTTCCACATGACTAGGTGAAAACTTCTGATAGTCCATTTTACCTCAATCTGATACCCAAATACCTGGTTACACTGTACACCAGGATTCATCCAAGTTACTCAGAGCCAGCACACAGATGCTATAGCCTTTGCTATAAGTATCTGGTTTCCATTCACCTTGGAGGGGCTGACAACACCCCTAACCTTGGGACTTCATGGACAAGTTTTCTGCACTTCTCTCTTTGCAGAAACCCTACAGAAATGTGATGAAGGTTAACATTTGTGAGAGTGCACAGCACCTCCCACTGCACCTCTCGGGACAGGGTCTGGAACCACGGCTAGAGTTCAGCTCCACAGCGCTCAAGCTGGGACCACTGCTGCCATGCAGCCCTGAGGTGGAGGGGACAGTGGTGGTGAAGAATCCATGCGAGTTCCCCATTGAATTTTACTCACTGGAGTTTGATGAGCAGTACCTTGAGGAGGAGCAGGTGAGAGGGAAGGTCTGGTCCCTGTGTGCATGCTCCCCAAGCATCACAGTGCTCCAGCATTCCCAGGCTCATGCCAGGGGGATGGAAGCACTCCCCAGGGCAAAACCTGGTGGAATTTTGGGGTTAGCCATCTCTGCTGGCAGTCTGTGGAGGGGCTTGGATAGTCCATGTTGTTGGGAGGAAGGAATGAGGGAGAACATGGGTTGGTTGAGTCTGTTCATGTGATGAAGGTCAATAAAGGAATCTCATATATAAGATATAATCTCTTCTCTATGCACAAAGATCCTGCGGGTGCTGAAGGACTTTGAGTGCCAGAACACCTTGTTGATGCCTCCTCGTGCTCCTGGTGAGGAGCTGCCCCCAGAGGTGCTGGAGTACTATGAAGAACAGAAGAAGCTGCAGGGTGAAGAGACAGAGTTCAAGGACAAGGAACCATCAGGCCAGGGGTCATGGTTTGGCAGTGGCTGTTCTGACTGTGGACGCAGCAGGGAGTCCAGTCCACACACCCTGAGTTCTCTGTCACCTTGTTCTCTATGGAAAGCCCATGCTTTTAGCAGCCATCTGTTCCCCAGCTTGGTGGAGGAATTCCTGGGTGAAGGGCTGTGACATCCTCTACCCAACCCTGAGTGTAGCCAAAGTGAGCTCGTATCTGCCTGCCACAGACTGGGAAAATAATCAGGATGTCTCCTTGTGTCCCTCAGCCACAAAGAGTAGGATTGGATGAGTTCTTCAGTCAGTAGAACCAGGCTAATATCAGTGGATCTTTTATATTTACTCCTTCCCAGCAACAAAAGCACAAGATCATATTGCTTTCAGCAGTCTCCTTTCCTGGGATCCAAGGGGATGGGGAGGATAATCGGGACCACAGGCAGGCAGGAGGCTGACTTTTCTACCTGTTTCTGCACAGCAGGGCATGAGAAGAGAATGTCCACCAGTAGTGGGGCCATGGCAGAACAGGATGACAGCCCTGTCTGTCGGACCCTCGCGCGCCACCTTGGCATTGATGTCTCTGCAGAAGGACTTGCATCTGAAAAGCGCAGAGGGATTGTTGTCATATCGCGCGCCACCTTGGCATTGATCTCTCTGCAGAAGGACTTGCAGCTGAAAAGCGCAGAGGGATTGTTGTCATTGTCCATGGCGCACCACTGACAGGTACATGAGCTGCAGCCTTTGGCTTCAAGGAGAGGGGGAGGTGGGAGAACTGCATCCTGGTGTACCATGGTGCTTGAGACAAAGTCCTCAGCTGAACATGAGCTGCAGATGATTCACCCAGCTCTAGAGTTCAGCACTCAATAACCGTGCTCAAGCTGCCTCCCTCATGGTGTCCGCAGAGGAGCACTTGCTTCCCCACTGTCCCTGAAACTCTGAAATCCTGTTCTGGAGCTTTCCAGAGCCTGTCGCTGAAAATGCCTCACATGCAAGTGTCAGCAAGCAGTCTTCCTCTTTATCTCTCAGGGAAGACAGAGGTAGCGGTCGCCCTGTCCAAGTATTATGGTGCTGCCTGCTTGTCCATTGATACTGTGGTGACAGAAGCCATCTCAGACAGGACAAGCTCGGTAGGGCTCTGTGCCCAGGAGCTGTGCATCAGGGCTGCCATTAAGTACAGAAGCAAGGAGACAGTGAATGCTGGTAAGGAGAAATGCTGGACCCAGAGCAGTGCTTGGGAAACCCACTGTGACGGTCCACTTTTGCTTGCTCTGAGAAGTAATTTGACAGCCCTTGGGTCTTTTTGAGACATCTCTGGTTAGTTTAGAAAACTAACAACCTCAATTTTAAGGACTCAGGGACACTTTTACTGCCCCTTTTACTGCCATTCTTGGCACATATTTCGTTTTCTGGGGGTGGTGAAGCACACCTGTCTCTTTGCCTGAATTTTTTGTTTCCTCTAAGCTGAATCCAGCTTGCTGCTCATGGCCAGCAAGCAGAACTGCTGCCCACTTTAACAAGGAAAAAGCCCTCTGAAGTGGCTCATTAAGCACTAGATTACTGACTATGAGTGTGGCTTCACAAACATGAGAGGAAGGGAAGAATAACCTCCCAGAGGAGTTTCCGATGAGAGCCACACTGTAGATGAGCTCTTTTCTCCAGGTATTTTCCTGTGCCACTGTCAGGTCACACAGCTTGTGCACATTGTGCTGTTCTCCATGTGAGACTGGAGACTTTTAGGAAATTTTATTGGGCAATTGGTGCCCTGAGCTCTTCAGGGTGAGGCCACACTCAGCTCTGGGCAGGGGGAAGTTTTGAACTGCTCGTTTTTTACCTGGTTGAGTTAGGAGCTGGTGGAAAGAAAAAGAGTCTGTCTGGGTTCCAGCTGAGGTTTTCCCACATGAAGCATTTAGTTCCAGTGGAGACAGGTGATGCAGCTGGGGCAGGGCTGCATGTTGCAGACTCCATATGAAAATGCAGGATGGATGCAAGGTATGAAACAATAGTCCTGGAGGACAGATCTTTGGCTTGATCCATAGAGGAGCTACTGTGCAAGCAGTCACCTGCATGCATATTTGTTAGGGGGGACATAGGGCTGTGCCTTGAAAACTCTCTGGCTTTAAAATCCAGTATGGGATGGTGTTTTTATCAGACTGATAAGAGAAGCAAGGAAGGAGCTGCTTCTGGGAATCAGTGCTGCAAGTGCCCAGCAGGCTGGGGAATGACTGCTGTGTCCCTTCCAGGGCATAAGGCTGTGCCCATTGAGATGGAAGGCACCTTCTTGCTCCCCACAGCCCCATTGAGCCATTTTTTCCCTCTGCAGGTGAAAAGGCAGATGCCTCCCTCAACACTAAGGCCAAACACAACCAGTCTGGCTCTGGGGACAAAGGCAGTCTGCAGACGCACAGTTCCCAGTGCCAGGCAAGCCCTACAGTGCACAAGAGGAAGGCATCCTTCAAATCCATAGGCCAGAAAAATCTTTCAACAAACTCCAAGGTGAAACATGATCTGCACTGGTTAATGCCTGGGACCTTTCTGCTGCCTTTGAGATGGGAAGGGGCTGCTTACAGTGGAGGCTCCATGTCACCCAGGGCCTGGTGCAGCGGTCTGTAGTGCCAAGAGCCAGCTGGGCAGGCTGGGCATGGCTTGGGGTGGGAATGTGCTCTGGCAGGCAAACTCCACTGATTCTTATTGGCTTGTTGTCAAAGTGCAGTCCTTGGCTAACATGGCTGCAAGCAGCGAGCAAAGCTGTACCAGGGGCTTGCAAGCTTGGGCCTCAGGTGGCCAAGGGATGGGCCCTCCAGGGCTCTCCCCTGGAGCTACCGGCATGTAGGGTTGTTCTAGTCTCCACTAGTGAGAAGCCTCAGCTCCAAGCCCAGCAGTGGAAATTGTTCAGGGCTTTCCTGAGTGGTTAATTTTTCTTATGCTGTTCCACACTGCAGGGCTCATTGGATTCCACTGCTCCTGTGCAGCAGTGGCTGAGCATCTGCGGCAGCATTGCTGGAGAGACAGGCTGTATGAGCTGCGTTCTGCCTGAGGACTTGCTGGTGGACATCCTCTCTGAAAGGCTGCAGGTATGTGGGATGGGGATGAAGGAGACGTTACTTCTCCAGAGAGACAGGCAGGGAGGTGCAACTTGGAGAGGAGGAGGAGGCCTAGATCTGCTGTTGCGGGATCCTGGGTTGCATGCAGGGCTCCCTGAGGGAAGCTGCAGATGCTTTAAATTGGCAGAGAATAGGG